GACCCGGGACACCTTGGCGCGGGCAACATACCTTACAGCCGTCCCCCACGCTGATGTTTCCTAGAATCATGGAGCCGGCGCCAACTAAAATTCCGCAGCCCAGCTTGGGGTGTCGGTCTCCGCGGCTCTTTCCCGTGCCGCCGAGAGTCACGCCGTGCAGGAGCGTGCAGTTGTCGCCCACGACGGCCGTCTCGCCGAAAACAACGCCGGTGGCGTGGTCGACCATTACCCCGGCCCCGACCTGGCAGCCGGGGTGTATGTCCATCCCGAACACCTCCGACACGCGGCTCTGGATCGCCAGCGCGAGAGACTTGCGGTCCTCCTTCCACAAGACGTGCCCGATGCGGCTTGCTTGCAGGCCGAGGTACCCCTTGAAATTCAGGAAGGCGTGCGCCGGGCCCTCGGCCGCGGGGTCTCTCGTGAGGATGGCAACTAGATCGGCGCGGAAAAACACGCCCAGGTGGTCCGTGTGTGCCTCCAGCACGTCCGCCAGCAGCTCGTCCCAAGTCTCCATCGACACGGAGTCGTTCCCGAGCTTGCAGGCCAAGTGATACGCGAGGGCCCGTTCCATGGTGTCGTACGTGAGGAGGGTCATCCTAAAGTAACGTGCCAGGGCGGGCTCGTCTTTCATCTTTAGTGAGAAGCGGGCGGGATCGGGGGTGGCGCGCGCGCGGGGGCGGGGCGGGGGTCATCGTCAGTCACAATTTCCTAGCGCCGTCACTGGCTACGTTGAGAGCGTATCAGGACGCGGGTCTCTAGGTTGTTGGTGCCAGGGTGATGGTCTTCGCTGGGGGGCGGTGAACTGGCGGACGGAAGAAATCTGCAAGCAAGGGGATCCCTTTCGTCCGCACACGATTCCTGATTACGCTAAATAAGATAGTTTGAGCATTGCAAGCTCCGCCGGTTCATATATGGCAAGCGTGGTCGTGTCTGCGTATGATTGCGTATCAAAGAGTGATCACGGTGTTCCATTAACTGGAGTATTCTCTAAGAAGAACAGTACCAAACTCCACCAAGTCGTCAACATGACACTGCGATGCGGGTCCTGTACGATGCACGCGAAACAACGACACACCGGACCCAGCAGAGCCTTGCAGGGCATGTGCTGGTGCATTTTATGCATAAGCGTTCTTATTCCAGCTGGCGCCCACTTTTTCTCGGTGTACGTCTAATATCCAGCTCTTTTTGTGTGTCCACTGGCTAGAGGTACATGCACATACAGCAGTATTTATAGTACGACGTAAATAAACAAAATACATTGAGAAGGTGTGAAGTAGTCCTAGCATATATACGCAACGTAGACTGGACGTAACCGCACAACAAGCACGCATCCATCCACAAATGTCCCTCGACCCTCCCTGTACAGAATTTAACACATGCCTTCGACCGCGATATTCGCGAGCGTGTAATACTTTCTGAGAACCGTCCAGTGGTGCCACCTCAAGGCTGGGTTGAACACGCATGCACCGAAATTTTCGGCAAGAAGAGAGGCCACGGGCGCAATGAGGAGAAAGTGCTATTAGTCGGCAAGATGAATGTTTGGCCAGAAAGACGGAGAAATGATGAACAAAGAGAACAGGTCACATCAGCCGCAGCAACGAGGTTCTGAGCCTAGCTCACAACACCTTGTGGTTTCGATTGCGGGCCTCCCATGCACTGGAGGCTGAATGCCCTTCGCTTCGACAGCAGTCCCGGGACGCATGTTCAGAACGCCGTGCCGCACATTTTTTTCAGAAACGAACACAGCTACACAGCTGTGTGCTGACGCAAGCAAGATGCCGGCAGAAGTTGACTCTGTCGCGCCCTGCGATGACCGTCAGCTCCAGCAGTATAACGTCTGTGACATGGCGGTGTAGCAAACGACATGACTATTACAGACACACCCGACTTGACTTCTGTAGACACCTCATGCGCGACATCTACCAGCAGCTGTAATCCATTCATACAAGAAAGTGCTGTCCATTTTCCTCCAGCAGCTTCTGGCTCAACATGCTCCCTCAAGAAGGGCTCTGAGGTCAACGCAAGACGGTAGCACAGGAAACCAAACCTTCAGATTACCGTGAGGGTGCCATATGCGAGTTGGTTCGACCCTTCAAAATAAACGCCGGGGACAACAGGGCTGCTGTGTGCCATGTATGCTTTGCCAGACCACGTCAATGACGGACGCCACCCACGTTGCTCCGCAACCCGCGTTGCTCCGCAATCAACATCAACGCGGGCTTATTATGCACACTTGGACACTTGGATTGCAAACCGCATGTGTCACACTTGCTTCATCCCGCGCAATTACCCGATCGGATGCATATTCCTGCACCTACCATGTTGCGCGCGTCTTCTTGCACCTGCCGCCAAAGCGGGCAGCGTACAGCAGTAGTCCCCTCCTCCTTGATGCCCTGGTGCGGGTCGGATAGTTGAAGCGTGCCCATTTTTTGGAAGGCAAGCAGTTGGCTTCGGAAAACTCCGGTGTGATAAACCACAAAAGCGGTGCACTGCAAATTCCAATCTAGCGAGAGCCACGCGCTGGACCGCCGGCCGTGCTCCCTGAAGGGATTACCTTTAAGCAGAGAGTGCGGATCGCGGTGGTTGTGCGCACGTGCGCCGCGCATCGTCCTCGGGGTGTGGAACCACGGAATCCCTACCCCCCCATGTGAAATACGATGTTGAGAGACCCCTACCTTTTTTTTTTTCAAGCATGTGGTTGCCTCTTTCCGCAGAGGAGAGACAAATATCTCGACGTGGCTCAGGAGACCGAGAGAGAGCTTGAGAGCATCGACGCAGACAACAACCTAGACATATTGCTGGAGGCTTTGGGTGTACACGGCGGAGGCGATCGGGTTTATTTGGCTGAATGGTGAGCGCTGGGCAAATATGAAGCACATACAACACCGTTGTTTTGCATCATGAGGGACAGACGAGGGAGAATCAATGTGTAGGGGGGGGCCTTTTGGGTACGCACCGGCAGGGAGAGAGAAAGCTGCTCTCTCTCTCTCTCTCTTTCGTCGTGGGTGGTCTTCTCCAGTCGGCACTCCAGCCACAACGAGAGCTCATCGGAGAACGGAGAACCACGCGCGGGCACTCACTGGTTGAATTCAGATCTGTGTCAAAGGACGCGCGCGCCTTCTGCCTGTACCCTCGTAAACAGGTCGATCGATGGAAGGGTTGCTCGATCATGCGCGCGAGCGTTTAACCCGCGGCCACTGTTTCAGCGACACTTACATACGAGAGTCGAAAACTTAGCAACGCGATCACTCAAGCAGATTCTGCTGTCTTGCACGTGTCCTTTGCGGGGTCTACATTTGGGAAACGACGGTGCGGGCCGTGCCATGGCTGTTGTTGTGGGGCCGTGGCTGGCGGGACACATGCACGCTGCTGGTGGCAAACCGTTTTTTACTTCGTCTGAAACAAAGAGAACGGAAAAACCTGAAGAGCGGTTGCGGTCGTCGTCCCCTGTGTCTCTGACACAGACCACAATTCTGAAATGGCTTGGAGGATGTTGATCGCGGTGCGGTTCTATGCTAGAGGAACGCCTACTAGAAACGCCACTCGCTCTTGCGGTGTTCGTGGCCCATCCCCCCCCTCCACAGCCAAACATGCGGGCAGGCCATTTTCTTATGCTCGTATGGCGTGTCCGCAGTGTGCCACGCATGATGGAAATTGCAACAAAGGTGGAGATTGGCCGCGTGACGGAGCGCGGTTGTTGTTGGAGAAGTAAATTTTATTTGCTGCAGGGTGTGTACATGTGTCCGAAGATAGGCACATGCACCTAGCATTCCTGCGTGAGGCGAGAGCACGGGCGTAGCTCGTAGTAGGAACCCCCAGAGTAGACATCAAGTCGCGCGCCAGCTCACGGGGAAAACGCGTAAAACACTGGCTCCTGCTGCAGTTGTTTTGCGAGCATGACGTGTGTTCGAGTTTTGAATCGCCTCGTGTGTGGAATTTGTTGCTCCCACCAGCATCGGAAAAGCACATGCAACCTACAACGATACAGCAGTACGCAACGCGACTCCTGCTTCCTTTCTTCCTCGTGCTTGGCGTACTCCTACCAAATGTGGTGGACTGCGCGCTACGCAAGGATTCGACTTAACCAACGCACTAATGCGTGTCCTATGGTCTCCACTTGCATGATGATGTAAAGTTCTTGATCGTACGCACTGGTACATCCTTGTACGTACGCATACGCCCGGCCTTTTTTTTTTCCTCGGCAGCATTGAAGGAATTGGCAACTGGCCAGATCGGACCTTCACCCGCGACGTGTACGAGGGGCATCTCAGCACTTTTTGCGAATTTCTGCCTCATGACCAAAGCTCCCAGTTCCTGTGCTGTGCGTTCGATAAGATTAGCAGTTTTTCATTTTAAAGTAGCTATTTAAAAATAGCCTTGCGATGCGTTTGTTGTATATAGACCGAACGTGTCATCGCATTCCTTGTTCCTATGCATCCTACACGGGAACGTGTGTGCGTGCGCCCGCATATGTTCCAACAGCGATGATGGTGCTGACGCATTGCCAGAATGTGGCAATACAGAATGGTACAGCAGCAGCGGTGCCGCCCAGGAGTGATATAGTCGGCAACCTGAAAGAATTTAGTAATGGTGTTGTCACACGATGTGATCCGACCACTTGATGAATTCATTATTATACCAGCTACTTCGAAGTATGTGGTTGGTACCGATCCCCCTCCCTCGCGCGCGCTGCTCTTCCCTCCCATGTCGTATCACGCCCTCCCCCGGCATGTGCTATTCGGTAGGACCAACAACATCTTCATCAACAAGAAAGGGGGATTTAACGCTTGAGTTCGATATCGAAGGAAACCGTCCGCTGGGTAAATACGGCGCAAGGCACGGGGCGATTTAATTTGTATTAGCCGGAGTGTTGGCCTGGCCAGGTAGGCCGGGCGTGCACAGGGAGGGGGATACAAACCACGATGTTTTCTTCATCGGTGGTATACGCGCTCCTCACGGCGTCGCTCTTCGGCAGAGCGGAAGGGTTCCTGGCATCGTCGTCTTCGACCGTTTCCAGCTGTGGGGTCGACACAGGGAAACACGCGCCCTGCCGCAACAGCGGGGTGTCTTCCAGGACCGACCGTAATAGGATTCGAGTCATGATGGCCGGAGGAGCTTCGACAGACGACGACAGAGATAGGCCGGGGCGCGCAAGCGGAGGCGGGCGGGACTTGTGGGGGTCGGGCAACAGATGTAGCAGCAATAGTTCGCGCAAGCAGCGCAGGAGGAGAACGAAAACGAGGCTAGGGGGCGACGGCGGCGGGGCGGGGGGGGGCGGGGCGAGCGGTAGTAGGAAGGTGGAACACCCAGGAGGTGGGGCGAGGTCGGTGGCGCTGTGGTCTTCGGCATGCCCCGCGGGCGACGAGTCTGCCGCTGGCGGCGCGGGCAGCGGCGGCGCCGGGGCCGCAAGTAGCGGCGGCGCTGGCGCGTGGAAGCGGAGCCTGTCGGCCGACGAGGACAAGCGGCTGAAGGCGGAGTGGTTGGTGGGGGACTCCGGTCCTTCCTCGGCCCCGGTTCAGCCGTGGGAGCTGCGGTCCCTGACGGCGGACGAGCAGCTTTCCCACCTTAATCGAGGCCTGCTGCAGCTAAGCGCGACGTTCGGGTGGTGCGTGACGGACGCGGAGGCGGTCGAGCTGGACGGGTTCAACCGGCGGGTGCTCGAGGACGCGTCCTATCTGTCGCCGGATGAGCAGAACTGGATCGGGGTGGCAGTGCAGGTGGCGTACCACGCCCACCAGGGGCAGCGGAGGAAGTCCGGCGAGCCGTTCATCATGCACCCGGTGGAGGTGATGGGGATCCTGGCGGGGCTCAGGATGGACGCTGAGACGCTGGTGGCGGCTCTGCTGCACGACACCGTGGAGGACACCAGGCTGGCCTTCGAGGATATCGAGACGCAGTTCGGGTCGACGGTGCGGCGCATCGTCGAGGGGGAGACCAAGCTGAGCAAGATCCCCGGGCGCGTATCGGCGTTCACGGCAAGCGACTACGAAATGGGCGGGAGCACGGCCCAGCAGAGGGCGGAGGGCGCCAAGCAGGCTGACAACCTGCGGCACATGCTGATCGCCATGAGCAAGGACTGGCGGGTGCTGGTGGTGAAGCTGTCCGATCGGCTGCACAACATGCGGACGCTGGGCGCCATGCCGCAGCACAAGCAGGTGCGCATCGCGCAGGAGACGATGGGTGTATTCGTGCCCTTGGCGAGGCGGATGGGGCTCTGGGACATCAAGACCGAGCTCGAGGACATGTGCTTCAAGACCCTCCACCCCAAGGAGCACGCCCGGGTGACGGAGCTCCTCCGTCTCCGTTCCGCCTCTACGGGCCACACGAAGGAGTTTTTGGAGAGCGAGCAACGGCGGTTGGAGCGGGTGCTCGGGCGCACCGCCGTGCTGGAGGGCAGGGCGCGCTCCTTTCGGGTGACGATGGGCGTCAAGCCCGCCTACACGGTGTGGCGGTCAATGGCGAGGAACGGCGGCCGGCTGGGCAGCGTGCTGGACTGCGTGCACTTCAAGGTTTCCTTCTCGCTACACCCCAAGCCGGGGCCGGACGGGGTCGTGAGGAGCTCCTTCGAGAACTCAGAGCTTGAGCGCGCGGCCTGCTACGGCCTGCTGGAGTCGCTCCACGGCCTGCTGCCGCCGGTTAGCCCGCCCAGGGTCGAGGACTTCATCGCCGTGCCGAAGCCCAACAACTACCGCGCGCTGCACACGGCGGTGCTGCTCAAGGGACACCCCGTGGAGGTGCAGATCCTCACGGACGACATGGACCGCGTGGCCCACTTCGGCATGGCGGCCAGCCAGGTGGCGAGAAGCACGGGCAACCCAAAGAACCTGCCGTGGCTGGCTGAGCTGCAGACCAGCGCGGAGGCGTGCGCGCTGGGGTGCGGGGACACGTACTCGGCGAACGTGAGGGACTCGCTGACCAGGGCGCAGGAGCGGAGGTTCGTGTTCGACCCCCAGGGGAAGATCTTGGACCTCGCGGGGAACGCCACGGTGAGCGTCTTGTTACGGTTCGGGTGTGTAACCGACTTCTGTGAAATGGACGCTGATTGCTTCTATCCCGCATCATTGTCTGGCAGAGATTTGTTGCTTTGTGTGCATACATCAGCAAAAAAAGAACATAGATAGAGGTGACACATGTTCCAGAGTATACCCGAGAGTCCGAAGCCATTCGTATAGCTGCTGGTCGATTTCCCCCGGACGCCCGAATCTAAAAACCCACCCAAAGGTTGCACGATGGAGTATCCATCGATTCGTAGTGTAGCTCACGGTTACTCGCTCGCGTTGCTGCTGTCTTGTTTTTCTTTTTTTGCATCACGGCCAGCGGTTCTGTCATTAGCATTCAGTTTGTCCAAGCGCGTTCATCACGGCAATTAGTGTAGGCATGAGCGGTAAACGCTCACATCTTCGACCCGCCAAAAGATGAGCAGCGAGATTAGCGGGGTTGGTTGGGTCTTGGCGGAAAAGCAGTGAAATGATCCAACCTGTACATTTTTTTTCAACCTCGCAGATATCAGCAACCAATCAACGACCTCATGTATGCGGCAAGACCAAATTGTTGGGAATTGGGGAAGGAACCGCGTGC